AAATAGTAAGCAGGTAAAAAAAAAAAAAATCAAGTAGCTCTTTAAGATTAAAAAAAAAATCCAGTAGAAATTCAAGAACATAATTTTTAGAAGATTTTATTTATTTGTGTGTGTGTGAGAGAGCGCTAGCATGAGTGGGAAGGAGTGGCAGAGGGAGAAGCAGAGTCCTTCCCTGAGCTGGGAGCCTGACATGGGGCTTGATCCCAGAATCATAACCTGAGCTGAAGGGAGACGCTTAGCCAACTGAGCCACCCAGGTGCCACCAAGAAAAGACTTTTTTTTTTATAAAGATTTTAATATTAAATCCTAACCTATCTACTGTAGACTGTTCTAATGAACTGTATTTTATTCCATGTTCACCAAACTCTTAACCTATGCATTTTTACTCTTTTGCACCTATTCTTTCTCACTTCCCAATGCTTCATTATTTCAATTTTTACCTTCTCTTCAATAAATCACCTGCTCCCTAGAGATTTTGCTCAGAAGCATTTACTGGAGAGAGATATAAAGATGCCAAAGTACCAAGACCAGGAACGGTCCACTACATTACTATTTCTTATATTTTTTTATTTCAATGTATCTTTTTGAATTCTTCAGAAAAAGTAGTTTGAGGTGAAGAGTTAAAAAATATCAACTCATTACTTCCAAAAGTAATGAGTTACTTACCTATGTATCAATCAAAGGTAAGTCCTTAAGAAGAGGTCCAGTAAGTATATAAGAAACTTTCAAGCAAAGCATCTAAAAGCTTAGAAAATAAGGTCAATGAGAGGAAACAAAAGAGCTATAATCTAAAAGAAAAAAAAAAAACCCAACTTAATCATCAACCCAGAAATGTACTGCAGAACTAGAGAGAAACTGCTTTTTACATATACCAGAAAAAGGCCTCTCTTCAAAAGACATTGCCAAAAGCTGGATGATTAGCTGATTAGTATCAGCCAGATCTGATTACACTTGGTAAATCCCCCTATGACTGGCACAGTGCCATACACCTGGTAGAGTATGGCTTTCACATTCATCAAAGCAAAGATGAAACAAAATGTTATGTACACAAGACTGTGTTGCATGAAATGATTAGTTATATGCTAGCCATAGGTGCCTTTCTCGCAACTCCAGATAATCAATTCCAGAATATCCAGATTTACTTTTAGGATAAGGCTGAATGACCAATCACTTTTTGAATCTAATTCTAAATCCACAGAAATCCAAGAAAAGTTTAGTTCAGAACTAAATTCAGTGTTCTGAGGCCATTAAGATTCAGGAAAATCCCAAAAGGAATGGAAATCCATGAGGGAGAGGAAGGGAAGCTAGTTTTGTAAATTCAATGAGTCAATTTAACTCTCAAGGATTTTTTTAGGTATTTAATACACAAAGACAGTTTTTCCAAAATGACTAGTTATAAAATGAAGAGGTTATAGAAACCAAGCCACAAATTACTCTCTGACTTTATGCCAAAATATTTCAGTACCCTTTCAAAAATATTAGAAGAGGAAAGTGAAATAATCCAAATTAAAAGCGTTTGTTAAAACAAAAATGGTAATAAATTTGAGAGGATTAAATTGGTATTCCAGGTAATGGACATTTGGTTATATTTAATCAAGTAACAGGCACGTGATAAATATTTGTCAAATGAAGGAATGACCATCTGATATTAGGACAGGTAAATGAGTAGACAGAAGAGGCAATCTAAAAATCGAGTGAATAGGAAGGTAAATGGAGGATAACGCTAACAATTGATGAATGAGTAAAAAGCATACGAATATTCTTTGTACTATTTTTATCTTGTAGCTTTTCATAAATTTAAAATTATTTCTAAGTTCAAGATTTTTTTTATTAATTTTTTTTTTATGATAGTCACAGAGAGAGAGAGAGAGGCAGAGACACAGGCAGAGGGAGAAGCAGGCTCCATGCACCGGGAGCCCGATATGGGATTCGATCCCGGGTCTCCAGGATCGCGCCCTGGGCCAAAGGCAGGCGCCAAACCGCTGCGCCACTCAGGGATCCCTAAGTTCAAGATTTTTAAAATTGTGCTAGAACTCAGAATCTAAAGATCTGAATTTTAGGTCCAACTTTGCCACTGACTAGATATGCAAACCTGAGCAAGTCACTCTATTGAGATTTTGTTTCTACTTCTATAAAATGGAGCTATTGTATCTACCTCATGAAGTAGTAATGAGGATAAAATGATAGGATTTTCTTTTTTAAAGATTTTATTTATTTATTCATAAGAGACGCAGAGACACAGGCAGAGAGAGATGCAGGCTCCTCACAGGGAGCCCAACGTGGGACTCGATCCCCAGACCGGGATTACACTGAGCCACCCAGGCATCCCAAAATGATAGAATTTGTGTGAAAGATCTCTGTTAATTCTAAAACATACAAATTAGTATCAGAAGAAAGGTAATGGGAAAAGTAATAGGAGCTGTAATACTAATACTAATGTGACACCTAACATTTACTGGGCCCTTACAATATTCCAGGCATATTCTAGGGCTAAGCACTTGACATGTTTTATCTCATTTAGTTCTCAGTCCTGTGAGGCAGATAGTATTATCTCCAATTTAGAGATAAACTGAAAGGTAGAAAGGTTGAATAACCCTGTCAACATCACAGAGCTATCAGTGGGGTTATAAAGCAAACTGAGGACCCCTATTCTAGAGCCCATCTATTGTACTCTAAGGCTTCTACCCAAGAGAAGACAACACATTTTACCTCTCCAAATATAATTCCATTTCTTTCCATTTTGAGTTTTGTAAAGTATACTATACATGAGTGGTCACACAGCACAAATATACAGAATACCAAGGGTTTCTTAATTACCCTTTATGACACACTGCAATGTTTTTTCTAGACTGTCATGACAAAGTTTTTGCTATTAAGAAGTTATAAATTTTTGCAGAAGCAAATTTATCAATTTTTTCCTTTTTAATTTTTATTTATTTATGATAGTCACACAGAGAGAGAGAGAGGCAGAGACACAGGCAGAGGGAGAAGCAGGCTCCATGCACCGGGAGCCCGACGTGGGACTCGATCTCGGGTCTCCAGGATTGCGCCCCAGGCCAAAGGCAGGCGCTAACCGCTGCGCCACCCAGGGATCCCTATAGCCTCTGAATTGTAACAAAATCTTAGAAAGGCCCAATCTACTTCAAGATTATTTTTAAAAATTCACACGTATTTCCTTCTAACAAGTTTATAATTTGTTCCTTAAAAAAAAAAAAAAAGCTTTTAAAAATCCTCAATATAAAATGAAAAAAAAAAGTCCTTGATATTTCTGGAATTTATCTGGTCAAGCTTTATAGATTTTTTTCCCTCAAAAGGTTAGCCAGTTATATATGACCACAATTCTGAAATTGTATCTTTACTACCAGTTTGGATTTAGATTCTCTTATCTATTCCATTCTTTGTTGTCTATTCCTGTAGCAAGAGTCACATTATTTGGATTACCATGGCTCTCTAATATATTTTAAATTTGTTAGACCTACTTATACTCATAACTCTTGATTTCAGCTTTTCCTGACAATCCTTATAAATTATTTTTCCAGAAGAACTTCTGATTACTTTGTGAAGTTCCAAAAGAGTATTTGCTGTTAATCTGGTTGGGGATACACTGATTTTGTGGATTAACTCTAGAAATGTCAATATTATATATATTTTTTGCAAAATTGAATCTTCCAATCCAAGAATGATGCATGATTTTTCTATTTATGCCTATCAGAGTACACTTTGTTTTTTTATTTTATTTAAATTCAGTTTGCCAACACACAGTATAACACCCAGTGCTCACAGAGTATACTTTTCAAGTTTCTTATAATAGAGCTGGTAGATTTATTTTTTTCCAAGGTATTACATCTTTTCTCATGCTATGGTGAATGAGATCTTCTTTTCCATTATATTAAAAAAAAAATCTTTATACCCAACATGATGCTTGAACTCATGACCTCAAGATCAAGAGTCATATGCTCCATGACAGAGCCAACCAACTACCCCTCCTCCACTATATAAATTTTTTAAAGATTATTTATTTTAGAGAGAGCACACACGCACAAGCAGGAGGAGCAGAGGGAGAGGATGAGAGAATCTGAAGCAGACTTTGCACTGAGTGCAAAGCCCAACATGGAGCTTAATCTCACAACCCTGAGTTCATGACCTGAGCAGAAACCAAGACCTGGACACTTAACCAATGCCACTCATGTGCCTCTTCCATTACATTTTCTAAAAGCTATTATTGTTTGTAAGGGCATTCAACAAATTTGGAAACTTTCTCTTTTCTCCCTTGTATGTTTTTTTTTTCAGACTAAAAGTCAACTTTATTTATATGTATTTAATTAAAATGGAATAGACATAAACCAAAAAGAAAAAAATCAGGATAAAGTGTCATTGCCATTTTGTTTGTAGGGAGGGATCAGGAAATGGAACAGATTACCTGGGAAACATCCTAAGACGATCTCAAAGAGGGTAGGTTACAGAATTTAAGAGTAAATGACAAAATTAGGTATTATTCCACTTAACCTACAAGTGAATAAAGGAAGTCAAAATATTTATCCTATTTGGTACAAGAATTTTTACATTTAATACATAGTGATTCATTTCTCAGAAACTAAAATACCGGTAACTTTTAGAAGAAAGAAATTTCCATTACACAATGACTAGAAAAATCTCAAATGCAACTAAGCAGCTATGCTATATAGCTCAGTATGTATCATTACATTGTTCTGGGCTAGTGTACATTTCAGTTTAACATAGAACTGCATTTTGGGTTTTAGAAAGGCAGCAATAGTTCTATTTTGGCTTTTATTCTAGATGCTTAACACAGTTAAGGCGACAGTTCAAGCATATTAAGTGATGGTAGTTACAATTTAATGATGACCAACACAATCTCTTACAACCTACATACACGTAGGTTGTATATGTATAATGTTTACATGGAATGAAACCATGTATACTCGGTGTTTTACATGCGCGCGCACACACACACCCACAGAACTAAAAAAGCATCAAAAGCAGTCATCCTACATGTACTATGGCAACACATTAAGAACGCAATTATACCATAGAACTAAAGTAATATGAACAGCACTACTTGATATGTAAGATAAAGGTGATTGGTTCTAACACAGAGCCCAGACTGTATCAGTCACTCTAATCATAATGGCTTATAAAAGCATCAGGTTTCCAGTAGAGAAACTACTCTAGGAAAATCAGTAAATCTGTCCAAAGTTTCACATCTGTAAAACCAGGATAAGGCTACAACAATCTTGAAGTGTGAACAAGATATCCAATCAAAACAGTGAGATTCCCAGCCATAATGTAAGATAGAAAAGTCTTCATCATGCCGCATATGCGCTCTGGCTCCTGGAAAGCTTCATGTGCATAATATAAAGTTAAGTTGCCCAAGAAGTAAACTGGAGAAGTTCGGTGAAGTTTCCATTGTGCCATGACTTTTAAACCTCAGGAATGGTGTGATCCATCAGGCTCTTCATAATGCTTGGTGCCATCCGTTTAATAATATGTTCAAAGATAAAAGCAGGCATGATTGTAATAGTAACTACAGTCTCAGATGTTGACAGTATGTCTGCAATTTGAGAGTCCTTCAGCCCAATGACATTCTGCCCATTGACTTCACAGATGTTATGTTCTGTGAGAAGACCATTTCTGGCTGCAGAACTATCTTTCACTATGGATGTTATCTTTCCATTTTTAAAGATAAAGCCAACATGTCCAGTACTATCCTTATGCATGGTAACTATCCGTTCAAAGGGCCTGTCACGAACAGTCATAGTAATCTTCTCCCCAAAAGCCTGTTTGAGCACCTTGTGAGCTTTATCAGAGCTCCAGCCTGCACAGTTTTCCCCATTGATCTGGAGTACTTGGTCCCCAAATCTCAGACCAACCAACGAGGCTGGAGAATTTGCCTGGACCAGCTGAACAAATATACCATTATCTATTGATTTAAGCCTGAGTCCAATTTTTCCATCTTGATCCTTACACAAAATGACTTCACGAATCCCTTGTTTAATTTCTGCTCTACGAATTCCAACATCGTTACCAGTTACAGGAGCTACCATATAGTTCATACTGGAAGGTCTTGCTACCAACTGCCCCTGAACTGATGCTCCAGGGGCCAAGGCCATATTTGCACGGATTTCTTCATCATTTAAACTCAGGCCCATGTACTGGGACAGCTCCGGATATAGTTTAGGATAGAGATTTCCATCTTGAGAGATGGGAGCAGAAGCTTCAGACAAAATTGCTGGGTTGGCAGAGTTTGCAGAAAAGGCAGTTTGAGCCTGAAGAACTTTGTCTACCTTTAGGTCTTCAAGAGATGGGTAGAGAGACATTTTTGCAGGATTTTTCTCGGTCGCAGGACCCGCCGCCGGAGCCGCCGCCGCCTCCGGTAACTGGCCCGGACTCCGAGACCCGAGGCGGGGAGAGCCGCGCGCGCCCGAGGACCGCCCGCCCAGCGCGTCACGGCGCCTCTCCTTTGTATGCTTAAGAACAATTTCTGTTTTTGTTATTTATTTGGTGTTTAATACAGTGATTTTTATTTTTTATAGAAAAACAGATCAGTGTAATAAACACAACTTTTACCTAAATTTAATAACTTATTTTTTCATACATATATTTTTTATTCAAGCATTTTAAGGTAAAAATTAGTCATATTTTACCCCTAAATACTTTAATATATATCTCTAAAAAAGAATTCTTAATTATAATACCATTATTATATCTAGTAATATTAGTAATTTTTAAATATCATCTAATGTCTTGATCATATTCAGTTTTCCTAATTCTTTCCAAAATATCTATTACATTTGGTTATTACATTTGGTTATTAAGTCATTTACATCTAAATGAAATCTTCCATCCCCACTTCCAGCCTTTTGTTCTTCATGACAGAAACCAGGCCATATTTCCTATAAAAACTCCTACATTCTAGTATTACCTTGAAATGTCCTACATTTTATATTTATCTTTCTTGTAGTTTTCTTTATCTTGTTCATGTCTCCCCTGTTATTTCCAAAAAGTTACACCTCAAGGTTTTAAGCTCAGGCTAAACATTTTTATCAAGTATATTTCATAAGTAGGGCCAGGTGGCTCAGTGAGCTAAGTATCTGACTCATGATTTTGGCTCAGATCATGATCTCCTGGGTCATGAGATGGAGGCCCGTGACAGGCTCCATGACCTGCAGGGAATCTGCTTGAGATTCTCTCCCTTTCCCTCTGTTCCTTACCTGACCTGCACATGCATAATCTCTCTCTCAACTAAATCTTAAAAAAAAAAAAAAAATATTTCATAAATGAAGCTCTTATAATCTTTCAAGTTTGAGATATAATTCACATACCACACAATTCGCTCAAAATATACTATTTAATGGTTCTTAGTATTTTACAGGTATTTGTAATTATCATGTCAGTTTTAGAACAGTTTCATCAGCTCAAAAAAAAAAAAAACAAAAACTCTTTAGTGATTTCTTCCTCCCTCACCCCATGTTTCCATCCCCCTAGACCTAAAGAACCACTAATCTATTCTTTTGTCCCTATAAATGTGCCTATTCTGTATTTCATTTAAATGTAATCATATAATGTGATCTTTTGTAATTGGCTTCTTTTACTTAGCATGTTTTCAGGGTTCCTCCAAATTGAAGCATGTTTCATTACTTCCCTTTTATAGCCAAATAGTACATTGTATCAATTTACCCACATTTGTTTATCCATTTACCAGTTGATGGACATTGGTTTTTTTCTACCTTTTATTTTGAATACCATATTATTATATGAATATCATATATTATTCTGTAATAATGCTATTTAATTATAACAATACCATGAACATTCGCGTCTAAATATTTGCTTGAACAACTGTTTTCAATTATTTTGAGTATATACCTATAAGTAGAATTGCTGGGGCATATAACAACTCTATGTTTAATCGTGTGAACTGCTAGACTATTTTCCAATGTGGCTGCACCATTCTGTATTTCTACCAACAGTAGAAACTTTGTCACTAACACTTGTTATTATTTGCCTTTTTGATTATAGCCATTAGTGGATATGAAAAAGAATGTCATGATTTTGATTTGCATTCCTCTAACGAATAATGACGCTGGGCATCTTTTCATATGCTTATTGGCTATGTGTGTGTATATATACTCTTTGAAGAAATGACTATTTGCCTGTTTTAAAAATTGGGTTGTCTTAATATTATGGAGTTTTAAGAGCTCTTTATCAGTTCTAGATACAAGTTCCCCTTATCAGATAATATGATTTGCAAACATATTTCTCCCATTCTATAGGCTTTTCATTTTCTTGACAGTATCCTTTGATAAAGTGTAATCATCTTTTTTTTTTCTTTTATTACTCAGGCTTTTGCTGACATATCTATCAATCCACTGCCAAATACGAGGTAATAAAGATCTATCTCTATATTTTCCTCTAAGAATTTTAGTTTTAGCTCTCATATTTAGGTCTTTGATCCATTTTGAGTTACTTTTCATGTATTATGTGAGCTAGGGATCCAGACTCATTCTTTTGCATATGGATATCCAGTTGTGCTGTTACCATTTGATAAAAACATATTTTCCTAGTGAATAACTTTCATATTCTAGTTGAAAAACAGTTGACCACAAACATGTGAGTTTATTTTGGGGCTCTCAACTCTATTCTCATAATTTCTATGTTTATCATTATGTCATACCACACTGTCTTGATTACTGCTGCTTTGTAGTAGGTTTTGAAATAGGGAAGTGTGAGTTCTCCAAATTTGTCCTTGAAAAAGGCTATTCTGGGTCCTGTATAATTCCATATAAATTTTAAAGTAAGCTTGTCAATTACTAAAACAGAGAAAAAAATTCCCAGTTGGAATTCTGATAGGAATTGTGTTGAATCTGCAGATCAACTTGGGGAGTATAACCTGTGATATTGCAATTTATAGGAAAAAATATATTTGGTCTTCACCATTTCTGGTATAGAGCTCCTAAAACGCTTGGAATTTCCAAAGTAATACGAGGAATTTTTAAAGTCTTTCTTTCATTACATTAATGAAGTGACTTTTAGCACCTAAGGAGGGGGCTGGTTGCCAGGAGAATGAAAGAATACAATCAGAGGGTTGGAACTTCAACTCCTACATCACTGATATCTAGAGAGGAAAGAGGGGCTAAAGGTTGAATCAATCACTAATGATCAACGATTTAATCAATCGTGTGTTTATGTCATAAAACACCCATAAAACCCCCAAAAAAAGACAGGATTTGGAAACTCTCTGGGTTGGCGAACACACAGAGATTTGGGGGAAGCGGCAAACTTAAGAGTGCATGGAAGATCCACAGCCCATCCCCAAATATCTTGCCCTATGCATCTCTTCCATATGGCTGTTTCTAAATTATAGCCTTTTATAAAACAGGCAATCTAGTAAGAAAACTGATTTCCTTAGTTCTATTAGCTGCTCTAGCAAATTAATGGAATCAAAAGAGAGGGTTATAGGAATCTCTGATTTATAGCTAGCTGATCAGAAGCAGAAGCAAAGAGAATAACCTAGACTTCCAACTGGCACCTGAAGTGGAAGCAGTCTTGTGGGACTGCAACCTTAACCTGTGGGACCTGATGCTACTACCAGGCAGAGAGTAGAGTTAAATTTGTGGGACATCTGGTTCAGTATCAACAGAGAACAGAGTTTAATTGTTTGGTGGTGTTGGGAAAAAAACACCCAATGGACTGCCACATTAACAATTTTAAGTCTTCTAAATACATATGATATCATTCATGTGTGGAATTTAAGAAACAAAACAAACGAGCAAAGGGGAATGAAAGAGAGAGAGAGGCAAACCAAGACACAGATGCTTAACTATAGAAAACAAACTGATGGTTACCAAAGGGGAGGTGAGTGGAGGAATGAATGAAATAGGTGATGGGGATTAAGGAGTGCACTTGTCATGATGAGCATAGGGTAATGTATGGAATTGCTGAATCACTATACTATATACCTGAAACTAATATTACACTGTATGTTAACTAACTAGAATTAAAATAAAAACTTAAAAAAAGGAGAGATGTTTTTCCATTTATTGAAATCTTCCTTAATTTCTTTCAAGAGTGTTCAAAAGTTTTCAGAATATAAATTTTATACTGCTTTTGTTAATTTACTTCTAAATATTTTATTTTCTTTGATACTATACTGAATGTGGACTTTTTTCTCAATTTCTTCTTCAGATTTTCATTATTGATATAGAAAATATAAAAACTACAAGTGATTTCTGTATAATTATCTTATAACTTATATTCTTGCTGAACTTCTAAGTTCTAATAATTTTTTTTGCGGATTCCTTAAAATTTTCCATATACAAAGTCCTGTCATCTGCAAATACAGCTAGTTTTACTTTTTCCCTTCCAATCTGGATGCCTTTTATTTCTTTTCTTGCATTACTAATTGCCCTAGCCAGAACCTCCAATACAGGCAGATGTGACAAGAGCAGAATCCATTTTGTTCCTGATCCCAGGAGAAAAGTGTTTTATACACACACACACACACACACACACCCCTGTGAGTGTTTCATAGCTGCCTTCTATCAGGATTGAGGAAGTTTCCTTTTATTATAAGTCTGTTAAGTCCTTTTATGATGAAAGTGTGTTGGATTTAGTCAAATGCTTTTGCTACCTTTATTAAAATAATCATGTGGTTTTGGTTTTTATTCTGTTTATATGGTATACTACATTAACTGATTTTTTTCATTTTTCATAAAATTGTATTTATCTTTTTCCCCAATATTTCACATTTTAAAATTTTAGTTAACATATAGTATTATATTAGTTTCAGGAGTAGAATTTAGTGACTCCTCACTTACATATAATACCCAGTGCTCATCACAAGTGCCCTCCTTAATACCCATCACCCATTTAGTCCCTCCTCCCTCCAGCAACCTCAGTTTGTTCTTTATAGTTAATAGTCTCTTATGGTTTGTCTTTTTCCCCCCTTTCCTTTACGTTCGTCTGTTTGTTTCTTAAATTCCACATATGAGTGAAATCATAAAAATATGGAACACAACAATTTGTGTCATCATTGTACTAATCTTCTCTATATCGTTCCAATTTTATTTTATTTTATTTTATTTTTTTCGTTCCGATTTTAGCATATATGCTGCCTTGTGGGCTGATTTTTAGATGTTAACCTATGTACTTTATTTTACATCCTGTGACGAGGCTCATTATGCCCTATCACCCACTATTTGTAATGATGCTAATACTGATGACCAGTTTTAGGAGGTAACAGTATGATGCCTCCATTATAAAGTTTCAGTTTTTTATTTTATGCCTAGCAAGTAATCTGAGATGACAATTTAGAACTATGTGAATATTGTTCTTTATCAACTCATGTCTTAATGGGTTTACCATCAG